AAAATATTTTCTATTCCTACTTTACGATTCTAAATTTAAATAGTACACACACATACACACACACAAAAAAAAAGAAAATAAGAAATAAATCAAGCTAATTAACCTTTTAAAATCATCCTTTTATCATATGAACTTTGATTAAAAAGACTCCCCTGTCAATTTCAAAATATTTGACTGAGAAAATCATTAACCCTTCAATTTTCTCTTAAAAATTATATATATCAAAAGCTAAAGTAATATCTATTTCTCGGGACCAGCAGTTGGAGTAATGGCTATGTTGCTGGACTCCCATGTAGTCAACCCCCGTTTGAGTCCCAGACCCAGTGGCTTAAACTCATGCCCGGTGCGTGTGCATGCAAGCCACAGGTCCCGAGAGTACAATAGAGGAGAAGGGATTGCCGCATGGCCATATCCCCGGGGGCTGATTTCTTTCTGTCTCTCTCTGTGTCTCTCTGTCTTTCTGGCAAGCACACTCACCCTATAGCAAAAACCTCTCAAAAAAAAAAAATTCTCAGTGTGGTAGGAAACAGCAAGTTTGCCAAAGGATGTAGAGTTGTTCATAAATCAAAATTCTATATGCTTTGAAGGTTTACAAGATTAACTGATTAGGCAATCAAAATTAAGATGAGTAAAATGTGCATGCCTTGATTTAACTTAATTCACAAGTTGAGCATACTCCAACTTTTGTGATTACATTTGTCTTTCAGGAAAAAGCCAGCACAAAATTTCAAAATAGGAGTATTTGTTAATTTGTGAATTATATGTACATTTTACTGAACAATATAGATTTAAGAACATGTAAACATAGATGAACTTAAAATGTGTCAAATAATATTTTATAAATCAATTTTTAATTTTAAATCATTTTAATACTTGGCTTTATTGACTTACATATTTGGAAACATATTGCACATATAAGTACCTATGTCCAAAGGGAGATTACTTATTTCTTGCCAGAAGATACAGGGAATGGATTTTGCATGTAGTGTTTTCTCTCTCTCTAATAGTTTTCACATTCCAGTCCAAACAGCTATTACATCAGGATTATACTTTTCACTCTCTTTTATAACCTCATTGATTTTAATTTGGGAAATCAATAACTGCTACAAATATATTCTGATTCTCTAATTTCACTGGAAAAACAAATCTTGCATTCATAAGTTGAGAAATGTGAAAAAAAATAATAAATTTATTATCTCAAAACACCACCCACTTGTTGGTATGTTTATTTTCCCCAAATTTTCTAAAATATTACTAACATTTTAAAAAAAGATTTGCTGACAAATAAATGCACTTTAATTTATTAATATTACTTTCTGTATATTATTAACATTTCATTCTGTAAATACTTATTTTGTTTTAAGAAATATAATGACTTTATGAATGATATGTGTCTGTCATTTTTTTTTTCAGTAGGAAACTCTAAGAGGCTTTTTAGTATTTGCCATTACAATTAGTGAAATATTTCATTAAATAACATTTGATTAAAATATAGTACTATGGGGATTGGCAGGTGGCTTGGTAGTTATGGGTGCTGGACTCCCACATGGCTAACCAAAGTTCAAGTCCCGGAACTGGCAGCTTGCTTTCTCACTTTCTCTCTCTTTGTCTCTCTCTGGTCAAATTAAAATAAATAAGTAAAGTTAAATAAAATAACTCTTTTTTTAAATTTTTATTTTTGGAGAGGTTCTTGTTATAAGGCGTGTGCACTTGCCAGAAAGACAGAGAGAGACAGAGAGACAGAAAGCAAGAAGTCCCACCCCCAGGGGGGATGGCCACACCACAATCCCTTCTCTTCCATTCTCCTCTTGGGATCTTGGGCACACACGCACACGTGCCTGGTGTGATTTTAAGCCACTGGGTCCAGGACTCGAACTGTGGTGGGCACTGTGGTTGGCTACATGGGAGTTCAGTGACGTAGCAATTACGCTAACTCCTGGTCCCAAAATAATTCTTTAAAGAAAAATAAAATATATATATATATATATAGTACTACACCATTGATAGTAAAATGAAAGAAAAGATACAGGGGGATATTTTTCAACTTTAGAAAGATTATCTAGGGCCATCCCTGTAGCACAGTGGTTATACACTGTGTAGAAGTTCTAGATCCCACATGATTGGTCGTGGTTTGAGTCTCAGCCCTGAATGCTTGAAAAACATGCGTGTGTGCTCCAAATCCGGATGGGATGAAAAAATGGAGGGAAAAGGATTGCACCATGGCCATGTCTTGGTGGCAGAGGGGTACTTTCTCTCCTTCTCTCTCTGGTGAGTGCACAGCTTTTCTGGCAATAATGAATTTTTTAATTTTTAAATAAAAGCTCCAGCTAATATTATACTCAGTGATGAGAAACTAAATGCTTTCTTCCAGGAACAGAAACAAAGCAAAGATGTCCTATGTTACCACTTTTATTGTGCATTGTCATGAAAGTCTTGGCTAATGCAATAAAGCAAGAAAAGGAAAAATCAGTATAGAATTGGAAGGAAGAAGTAAAAATGTCTTAATTCTCAAATAACAATCTATGTAGAAAATTCTAAAGAATAAAAAATATAGATTATTAATAAACTAATCACAATAAAATTCCTTGAAACTAATAAGTGACTATAAGATTGAAGATACAAAGCTAATACACAAAAGTCCATTTCTTTCCTAGCACTATGTCATTTATATCATCATAAATACAATGAAATAGATATAAGTTGAACAAAATATGTAGAGAATCTATGTGTGAAAAGAAACAAACTCTGACAAAAAAAAGTTAAACATCTAAATAACGAGATTCTCCATGTTCATGGATTGGAAAAGTAAGTATTGTTAAGATACTGGGACCAGCAGATGGCGTAGTTGTTATGTTGCTGGACTCTCACATGGTCAGCTGTAGTTTGAGTCCTGGACCCAGTGGCTTGAAACTCATGCCAGGCATGTGTGCTTGCATGCCAAGATTCTGGGAGAAGAATGGAGAAGGGTTTGTGGTGTGTGCATCCCCCATAGGAAGAGATTTTTCACTTTCCCTCTGAGTCTCTGTCTCTCTCTCTCTGTCAAGTGCACGCACCTCTCTAAGGCAAAAATCTCTAAAAAATAGGGTTTTTTTTATTATCATCATAATCTTCTTTATATTACATTGGATTACATATAACTTTACATTGACTTCCATTGCTTTTTCAAAAGGGAATGCCACTGGGAGAAGAATGGAGAAGGGTTTGTGGTGTGTGCATCCCCCATAGGAAGAGATTTTTCACTTTCCCTCTGAGTCTCTGTCTCTCTCTCTCTGTCAAGTGCACGCACCTCTCTAAGGCAAAAATCTCTAAAAAATATTTTTAAGATCCCAATTCTTCTCAATTTGATCAACGGATTCAACATAATCTAATAAAAATTCCACCTAGTTCTTTTGTGGAAATCTATAATCTGACTGTAAAGGTTTTATAAAATGGCAAAAAGACTCAGAAAAGCTAATGTAAACTTGAAGAACAAATTTGGAGGACTGACACTGCCTGAACTTCAGACCTAATATAAAGCTACAGTCATCAAAATAGCATAGTATTGGCCAAAAAATAAGTGTATCTCCATAGACTGAAATCAAGATCTCAGAAGTATAACCCTACAAATATAATAAACAAATCTGTGACAAATGCAAAAAGACATTTCATTGGAAAAGGGATATTCTTGTTAACAAACAGTACTGCAACTATTGGACATTTATTCATACAAAAATTCTGAACAGATATTACTCCTGTCTCAAAAATTAACTTACAAATGTCTACTGCCTAAATTTAAAACACAAAGTTATAAAACTTTTAGAGGCAAATATAAGAAAAAAAATCTTTGAAACCTTGGGTTTTGTCATGAATTTTTGTGTATAACACTAAAAGCATAACCTATGGAAGAAAAAGTTGATCACAGACTTTATTCAAATTAAAATTTGTTGTTCTATAATATAGAAGTATGAAGTGACAGCCATGAATTAGGAGATAATGCTATTTAAGATAAATATCTGCTAAAGCACAGGTATCTAAAAATATACAAAGCAGACTTAAAAGGACAATAAGAAAATGGACAATTCAATTATAGTCATAAGATCTAAATAGACATCTTACCAATGAAGATATACAAATGGCAAACAAACTAAAAGATGCTCAACATAATTTGATGTTAGGGAATTACAAATTAAAACGACATTGCTAAACACCTATAAAATAGCCAAAATCTAAAAACTGGACGTTACCAAATACTGGAGAAGATGCAGAACAACACACATTCTCATTGTCACTAAGGGAGATGATAAAGGGTGCAGCCATTTTGAAAGACAGATCGGCAATTTCTTACAAAGATAACTATAGTCTTACCATTACAATCCAACAAGTGAGCTCCATGATACTTACCTAAACTGGTTTTAAAATATATCCATATAAAGATCCATATGAATTATTTTTATAACCTTATTTATAATTTCCAAAAATCAACAATAGAAGGAACCAAAATGTTTTTCCTAAGTGAATGGATAAACAAAATTGTGGGACATCCAAATAATAGAGCATTATTTAGTAATAATAATAAATGAGCTATCAAGCCACAACAAGCACAATGCACATTGCTAAGTGAAAGAAGTCAGTATGAAAATCCTACAGTGTATGATCAATTATATGACATTTTGACAAAGGCAGATTATATAGAGTAGAGAGATCAGTGGTTGCCAAGTGGTGGGAAGGAGAGAGAGAGGGTCGAATAAGTAAAACAGAGGGAAACTTTAAGGGAGTAAAACCATTTTCTGTGATACTTTAGTGGTAGATATATAGCATAATGCATTTGTCAAACCCATAACTGTCTAGTATGTATAATTAATTTATATGAATTCAAAGTTATTCAGCATGTGAGTGCGCATGCACACAGAGGCCCCAGCCTGCGTGGGGGGGGGGGAGGGGGTAGAGGAGGCCGGAAGCGCGCGTGTGCGAGGCAGTTGTGTGCACCCGCACCTCCTCCCCATTCCCCGCCGCCAAGGCGGCAGCACCATGGCGGCGACCGTGACCATGTCCCCGCTGCAGCCAGTCACCCACCTCATCTTTGACATGGACGGCCTCCTTCTGGATACCGAGCGGCTGTATTCGGTGGTGTTTCAAGAGATCTGTGATCGCTATGAGAAAACGTACAGCTGGGACGTGAAGTCGCTGGCGATGGGTAGAAAGGCCTTGGAGGCCGCTCAGGTCATTATAGATGTCCTGCGACTCCCCATGACCAAAGAGGAGCTGGTGGAGGAAAGCCAGAGGATGTTAGAGCAGATGCTCCCCACGGCAGCGCTCATGCCAGGGGCTGAGAAACTCGTCCACCACCTCCGAAAGCACAACATACCCGCTGCCGTGGCCACGAGCTCTGGGTCCACCACCTTCAAAATGAAGACGAGAAGACACAAGGACTTCTTCGATCTCTTTTGTCATATCGTTCTGGGAGACGACCCGGAAGTGAAGTATAGCAAGCCTGACCCCGACATATTTCTGGCTTGTGCGAAGAGGTTTTCTCCTCCTCCACCCACGGACAGGTGCCTGGTCTTTGAAGACTCCCCCAACGGTGTGGAGGCAGCCCTGGCAGCCGGCATGCAGGTGGTCATGGTTCCAGATGCCAACCTGAACCGGGATCTGACGAGGAAGGCCACCCTGGTGCTTCGCTCCCTGGATGACTTCCAGCCGGAGCTGTTTGGTCTGCCTCCCTACGAATGAGAGAACACACACGCAGCCAAGGCCCCGCTGTGAGCCCCCTGCCATGATCATACTGCCAAGGGAAAGGGAAAAGGAAATCTACATCCCCTAGACCACAACCTGCACAATCACCATAGCCTTGTGAAGTTGGCCTTGGCATACCATGCTGGCTTGGCCCATTCTCTCTAAAGCAATGACAAACCGTACCTGAACACTTGAGGGAAACCAAGGGGAGACAGCCCAGATCAGAAACTGCACTTTCAGGCCCATCTCACTCCTTCAGCTCATCAGTACGTGCCAAAGTGAGGTTCCACACATCCACAAAAACAGCAGTACCTGGACATGCATGGGCACCTTTGATACCTATGTATGTATGGATTTGTGTGCACACATCTATGTAGAAGTATATTTGTAAGATATATCCTTCTCCAAGACACAGAAAAATGATACTGTAGTAAAATGATACAGTAGTTCATTTCCTTTACTATTTACTTTTTCTGATTGCTGGTTGGACACTATGTTTGCATATGTGTGTACATGTTTATATATATTTGCATATAATATATCATATATATGTATGTATGTGTATATATACACACACATATACACATATATATGTATATATAAAACGTGCTGCGGCACACTCCTGTTGAACTTCACATGCAATAACAGAGTGAGAAAGCCAAGCTATTGATGACCCTCAGAATTGGATGCTCCTACTCAGCTGGGATTAAAATTCTTTGCATGTCCTCAGTGACTAACTTTGCACTGTCCCATCACTAGTTTCTTTTCGGTGTGAACTTGGCTGTAACATATGTGTCATACCTGTGCCCTTATCCACATTGCAGAATGTTTTCTACCTCAAGGAAATTGTTTCCCTCCTCTAAGAAGCCTGATTCTCTACATTCCTTTGATAGAAATAGAACTCTATTTCAGAACAAATACCTGCTAAGACAGAGAGCTGTGGTGCATGTTTGTAATAATTAATGATTACTTCTGTAATTCGCCCCTTTTAAACATTTAGCCAGCCTTTGTGATTTGTCAGAAGAGCATTGTGAAACCTACAGAGTGAGAAATAAAGGTGCACTGCTCAGAATGCATCCTTCCAGGTGTTCTTTTACTCACTATTACAGAGCTGTTTGCAGCTCTGTAAGTTGTGCAGAAGCAATAGTGATGCATGTGTGTAGGTCTGGTGGAATGACTGTCCTGATTTCTCCTGGCCCTTGGCAGCTTTGTATGGGCTTTGCATTTTCATTTCAGCTTACTGAGTGCCTGTATCCCTGGCAGTTCCTTGACATCTCCTGCAAACCAGTTAGGCTTCTGGTTTCCCCAACTTGTTTGTTTACTTGAATAAAATCTTTTATCATATTCATGTCAAAAAAAAAAAAAAAACATTATTCAGGAAGTTATCCCAGAGAGGAATGCAGAGTAGGACAAGATAATTTAACTGCATTACAAATATGCAACCTCTCTGAAAATGGTGGAAGGGAAAAATGATAGTTTCTGTAACTTTGAAAATGAAAAACTCTGTAAGGCTAATGGCAAAGAAACTTCACAAGAGCACAGTGCTGTAGTTGATAAAGTGATTTCCCACAGAGCTTTCCAGACAGACAGGTAAGAGACAGAAACAGAGAGACAGAGACAGAGTGAGAATGAGTAAGCATCCCCAATGTTGAATGGTCACACTGCCATTCCTTCTCTTCCATTTCTCCCTCCTTTCAAGATATTGGGAACACACAAGCAAGAAATTCCCTCCCCCCCCCACCTCAAGTGGTAAATGGCCACGCTGCAATCCCTTCTCCTCCATTCTCCTCTTGGGATCCTGGGTACCATCATGCACGCACATGCACACACCTGGTATGAGTTTTAAGCCACTAGGTTCAGGCCTCAAATCACAGTCGACTACATGGGAGTCCAGTGACACACCCATTACACCTCCTGCCGGTCACAAAATACTTTTTTTCTTATTTTTAAAGAGAAACATTGTTTCTCCTTAAAGTTTATTTATGTATATCTTTAATGAGTGACAGAGATAGAGACAAATATATATATATATATGTGTGTATATATATATATATAGAGAGAGAGAGAGAGAGAGAGAGAGACAGCACTGGACTAGGGTCTCAGTGCAATCCATCCCCAGGCTCTGCCAGCCCTAGATCATAGGCAAGAGTGCCTGTTTACTCGAGAGGCCTCCATATTTGAATCAGGAACCCTTCCAAAGGAGATTGCCTCATGGAACATCATGTTTTATCACTGTGCTACTGTCTGGACACTGATATCTTTTTCATGCCGTCAATCTATCTGATACCATCTAACTTCTGGAGATAAAATGAACAGGACACTATGGACATTCC